AAAATAAATTTAAGTAAATTATATGTATTGATTTATTTTATTGCTGGCTATAAAGCGCTTTATTTTATATTTGTAAAATAACTATGATCTTTTCGATTTGATATTACATGGAATCTCATTCATTTCAGGTGAGTATAATTCCTTTTCTCCTTCAAGGAAAACTTCTTTTTCTTTGAAACAAGCATGATGTTTAACATCATCTAATGTAGGAATAATTTCTTTATAATATCGACAAAAGAACATATTTGCAATAAAACTTAATCTCCAATAGAATATGTACTAATAATGAGTCATCAACAAATACGTAATGTTTTTAAGTTTATATAGTTCTTTAAATAAAAAAAACTGAATATTGATTACCTAAGAATTCCGGGTTGAATACTACGTTATTCGAACGCGACGAAGACATTTTTTTGCAAATTAAGGATGCTTATCCTACATTAAACAAGGATAAATGGTGCATTATGCGCATCATGCAAGAAACGGAACTCATTCAAAATGATAATAATGACCGGAATATATATTAATATCACACTTAAAAAAAATAATTTTGCTCGATATGTTGACGCTATTGACGTCCGACACGACCAAACTTAGACTCGAGTTGTGTTTCGCAGTGTCGTTCTGTGTCTCTCTGTGTCATAGATGGAAAGCACCAGTATAGATACTGTATTACATCTGGTGTCGCCTGTGTACGTTATTGGAAAGCACCCTGTGTTACACGGTGTCGCTTGTGTACGTTGTTGAAAAGCACCCACAACCAGTTCAGTCAAAAAGAACAGACCTTTTAACTCTTTTGGATAGAATTCATTGCCAACGGAAAGATTGCCAATAGAAAAGAGGCAAGCTTGCGTGAAAAAACTCCAAATAACGTAAGTATTGAGAAGTGAGAAGCAGTCTTGCGCGCCGTTTCAAGTTGTTTCAAGTTTTCGAAACGAAACGATGGAGATTGGTTAGATACGGGGGAGTGATTGGAAAATGATGAACAGGTAATCTTACATGGTATATTTGTTGTAAATGTCAATTTTTTTAATCAATAAATATTAATAAGTGACAAGGAGTTAGATTATTACTTGTTCAATGTGTTGATTTTCCTTTTTTTTTGATGAGAAAAATAATAATCGATGAGCATGATGAAAGAGGTTATACTTTTGTAACGTATCTCGTAATAAGTAAACATTGAAATTTGCTAGGAAAGCGCTAAATTTTCTGTGGTTTATGCTTATGACGTGTTTCATTGAAATGAACAATCATATTTTATAAAGATTAATGGATTTTGTATCAATACAAAAAAAATAAATGAAATATTCTCATAAAGTCGTACACAAAATAAGTTAATATGCAAATGACTTTAATGAATTTGATTTGAGATTTTGCTTTTATTTTACTTTATCAAAATTTGTTTCTGATAGATTATCATTATGATGAATAATTTTGAGGACTCTGTTATGGAAAGAGAATTATCTGACAAAACAAAAATAGGCAAGTTAAAGAGACGTTCGGTTTCCTCTTCCAATAATGATTCTGAGAAGAACCAAAAGAGACGAAATATATGCAGTAAGGACAAAAGGAAGAGGTCAAAGCATAGAAGTAGTTCCAATAGTTCTGGTTCTTCTAATATATCAGATACAGAGAGGGATAAAATAAAGAAGAGCAAAGATGAGGATATAAAATATAAAGCTAAAAAATATGAAAATAATATAGAGTTTCAAAGAAGAAGTGGAAAATATAGTAACGATCATAGATTTTATCGGAGGCAGAGTAACTATCTGAATAATCAAAGAGATTATGGTTATTCACGACCTTACAGGCATCACAATTTCTATAATAGAAATAGAAGAGATGCGGGTAACAATTATTATGGTAGATATAATAGTGGTAGATATGAAAGAACATTTAATCACGGCAGAAGGATGCATGATTATTATAGAAATACTGGTAGAAATACGACTAGTCAATTCTCAAGAGAGAGTAGTTCAAAAGAGCATACAAAACAAGAAAGATCTATCTCAAAGGTCTATCAGTTAGAAAAACCTGATTCAATACAAGATGATATGGAAATGCTTGAGCAAGTAAAACAGAAAGAGAAAAAAAATGAAGAGATACAAAAATAAGAATCAGCCAAGTCGCAAAAAATTAAAAAGGAAAGATTTCATCCACTTCTAGTTCTTCTAGCGTCAGTAGCAGCAGTAGCGACAGTAGCAGCAGTAGTTATAGTAATAGCAGCAGCAATAGCAGTAGTAGTGATACCGACAGTAGTAGCAGTAACAGTAGTATTGATAGCTCAGAGGATGAGAAGAAGCAAAAAACCTAAAAGAAGGCCAAGAAATTGAAGAAAGCTATAAAAAACGGAAGAAGAAGAAACGGATGAAAAAGAAATTGAAGAAGAAGTTAAAAAAGTCTGCATCCAAAAGAAAGGGACGCAGCAAGAAGAAGAAATCTAAAGAACATAAGGAAGTTCAAGACGATAAGGAGAAAACGAAAGAAATTGTATTTGGTATGACGGAAAGAGCGAAGGCCATGGCACCTATGACAAAAGAGGAATGGGAAAAAAGACAGAATATCGTGCGCAGAGTTTATGATCAAGAGTCTGGGAGACATAGGTAAGTATATTTCAACGCAACTAGACAGACAAATTTAAATATAAAATTTTATTTATTTTTATTTTTGATCTGTAACATTTTTATGATTTGAATATAAAATTATTTTAGAATATTAAAATAATTTTTGTATTTTTACAAAGATTAATCAAAGGTGACGGGGAAATTTTGGAAGAGATAGTGAGCCGAGAGCGTCATAAGGAAATTAACAGACAAGCGACCAAAGGAGATGGTGAATACTTCCAAAACACACTTGAAGATGAACACTTTATGAGATATATTTTTGTGTAATAAACGCATAATTAGCTTCTCTTTATATATTATAAATTAGATGTTATATAATAAAACTAAGTTCATTATATACATATGTATGTATGCATATATGGTATATACATGTATATATATATATATATATATATATATTATATATATATAATATATATATAAGATATATATATAATATATATATAATATATATATATATATGTGTATGTGTGTGCGTGTGTGTATCGGATACATACGTGTATGTATGTATGTATAATTTATGTTTTCTCTTGTCACAATATTGCTATCCGATATTGTAATATGATTTTGTATTGTATTGCCATTTTGAATACTTATCTAAGGGCACACGTAAAGTTGTTATTATATATCATAACTGTAATTACATATTATTGTAATTGCAAATTTATACGTGGGCTATCAAAAATTAGGTTAAGTTTAACTCTTTTTATGATATTGCTGTGTTGCGCTAATGATGCAGTGTATCGAAAATAAATTTTTATATAGAAAATTTTTTTATTTCATTGAAAAAAGTAAATTGATTAAAGAAGAAATGATAAAATTATAATTTTTTGAAATAATATTGTAATAATGCTTTGCTTCTCGTTTCTAATCATATATTTGATTTTAAATACGTGTAACTGTACAGAGAAGCTTGAGAGTTCTTTTTTGTTCTTTTTTGTGAGACCGTCGATTCCCGTATACTAGCACCCCCAAGTTCCATTTTAGCATCTTTGAATTAAACAGCCACTTCCATTTTCTGACACTGTCGATAAAATCTCATTCTGGTTTGTGTCCGTGCTACTTTCATAATTCAATTGATGGATCAAGAGTATGCCTATATGTATAATTATACATATAAGCATACTCATCCATTTACGTTCGCGTATTTTTTTTATCGTAGAATAAAGTATTGAACGTTAATATTAGTATATACATTTATCACATATTCATGTTTATATATATAACATATACAATAAAAATAATCTATGATAGATATTTTCTTATTTTTATAAAATCCCTCATAATCAGATTTTTAATTGGCGTATAATTATATATAATTACGATTATTCTTACAAACTTACTTTCCTATAACTTATTTAATATTTAAATCTTTTATAATTAATAGATAATTTGCAATATTTACATTATAGGAATATATATATATTTATTTATTTATTAAAAAGAAATATAAGAAAGAAATAAATACAAAGAAATTAAGAACAAAAATAAAAAGAATCAGAAAAGAATCATGAAATTTGCGTGAATTTTATATAACAAAAAAAAATATATATATATACATATCAAAAATAAATATATAGTAAAAAATTTATCTTGAAATTTTTATAATACACTGAAGAATATTTTTAATATATGCAATATTAATATAATTTATTATTAAATTTATTTAATGCTAAATATAATTTTTAAAATGGATGATTATCTTTTCATTATTTATTATATTAAAAATTGATTAAAATCGACAATCCTCTTTTCTTTGCACGCATGTTTAAAATTTTTTAATATTTTTGATTATTATTTATTATACAATTGAGTTTAAAATCAAACAATACAATTACATACGAAGGTATATACATAATGAAATAAAATACAATAAAAATACAAAACTTTTCGCAAGATATATGTAATACAATAATTTTTGCAAGATACAATTGAACATAATAATAACATATATTAACATATTATAACATATTACAATTTATAATGTATTATAATAAATAACAAATTAATTTTCGCTATTAACAGAATTATATAAGTATTAAATCGTGAAATTGATTCATAACATTGTTTCATTAATATGTAATTCCAGCCTTTGTCTCGTGTTCTTCTTCTTGTTGATATGTTTCTGCGAAACTGTTCAATCAACATTTTAATTTGTGCTTTTTCAGTATTAGAAAAAAATTACGCAATTGATTTTTTGTAATTGTTTCAACACAATTACAATTTTGCAATTTTTACAATTCCATTTGAGAAGAAGGATTCTATCATGCGGTGTTGGAATTGTAATAGTGGATTCGTTCGCTGCGCGAAAGATACGCGTACCAATAAAAAAGATTGAAAGTAAGGAAAAAGAGGGGAAACACTACGCGACTGACACGGTCAATTTTCGACACCGAGTTGTATCTGGGTGTTCGCCGATGTCGTTTTCCGGATGCGGACGATGTTGTTCGTCCGGAGGGTGGCGGCGGCACGATGGTTGGATTTGGTCTTCGTCGAGATGGTGGACTGCAGGTCACACATGATATTTGCCACTGACTAGTCACTGCTGGATCTCTGTCGGGTATCGAGATTGCCGATAACGGTATCACTTCGATCATACTATCACCGTTTATCGCAAAGTTGCGGTTAGTACGTCCTCGTGCGCCAGAACTCGCGAAACTCTTCCGATAGCTCTGAAGCAATATTATTTATGTGAACGAATCGAAGTCGAATGTTTTGTTTATCGAATGTTTTTCCAGAATTAAAGATTTTGAATTGTATGTACTCTAATTTAGAAATAAAAGGAAAAGTATTTTAAGTATTTATTCTATTTGCTGCTTCTAAATTGCTGCTTCTATATTGTATTGTTTTTCCTTTCAATTTACTTAGATTTTATGGAGTTGATAATTACATCTCAGTATTAATATTAAAAAAATTGAAAAAAAGTGAATAAATGTAAAAATTAATAATTTTTTGCTGTGAATAGTTGTTTACCGGTTGATTTTTCATTAGCTTTCTAGTTCCATCTTCCTCTTCGCTCGAACTTTCAGTATCGCTGAGATCAGAGATGAAATAACACTCGCCCGATCCATACTTAGTGAAATAATGTACCACTGCGAATTGTATTATGGTGGCAAAGATGAATGCGAACGAGAGAAAAACGAAAAAGTCCAGGGCAGTGGGATAAGGAACTTTGGGTAGATCGGTTCTCGCTTCGAGTCCTAAGAATGTCATCGTTAATACGGTAGTTATGCCTAAAATAAAATGTGACATTTTAACTGCGCAATTATGAATAAAAAAATAAAATTTATTTGGATTTAAATAAATATTGGGAAGGAAAGGATATAATATATTTGGCTATTATTTTATTTAAATTCTTTCGAAAATTCAATTTCAAGTTTCAAAAATTCATAAAAGTTTCATTACTTGTTCCATTTATAATTCTCCCATAATTTTCTTAATTTAAAAATTTTGTTATATTTTCGGTACAAATACAACATAATAAGTATCTATGAAACTTGACTAATCAATATTTCTTTATACTCAATATTTATTAAAATAAATAATAAATAAATAGAAAAATTTTATACACATACACATACATGTGCGCGCGCGCGCGTGTGTGTGTGTGTGTGTGTGTGTGGTGTATATAAATAATTGCAAAACTGATGTTTAATTTTCAACACAGCAAAGTTACAGGCTTAATAAAGTCAGAAATTGTTAGTGCATTTATGGCATGTTGAGAAAGCATTAAAGCTTAAGTTATGCAGTTTGTGCATTACGCTTATGATCAACATAGATTCCTTTTGTATATTTATGATACATATGTAATTATTCATAAATATGATGTGCGTTCGGTACGATAGCATTCAAATATTACAACGGTAGAAGTCCCAAAGAACATTTTAATAAATAATAAATAACTTCTCTCACCCAATGACACTCTATCGGCAGTAGCTTCTCTGTTTAACCAAAATGAAACCCAAGATAGGACGACTAATAGGATGCATGGACCGTATACTTGTATTAAGAAATTACCCATATGCCTTTGCAAATGGAAGTATACTAAAAGCATCGAATAATTCGCTGAAAAAAAAACATGTTAATATATATGTGACTAAAAGTATCATATATTTTTGTTGCCAAGTATTTTTTGTTAAATATCATAAAATTAATATGATAATTACAAAATATGATGATTACAAAATGAAAAAAATTTAAGTAAAAGGACTCACGCAAAAAACAGTTTGAATAATTTTTACTTAAAAAATGTAAATGTAACATCACATATTTAATAATTAATAAATTAATAATTAATAAATTAATAAATACGATATTATATGTATGTTCAGAGATTATATGTATCTACAGAGTATTTTAAAAATATTATTTATATAAATTTATAATTTTATACTTATTACATATTTTATGTTTATTTTTATAGATGAGATATAATATAATATCTGTTATTGCGTTGAAATATTATGTTAAAAAGTAATAATTATAATGACACAAATCCTTTTTTTAAATATCAAAATTATGAATTTTTTCATCATTTAATTGATAGCTTGATGATTTTGAAGCAAATTTCTTCGATAATAAGTACTCAAGAGGTAGTGAGAAGACCAAAGCAGTTGTTTACTAATCAATAATAATCCAATTAAAATTCACATAAAATATATCTATGGAACATTTGATCTTTTGCTGTGTTCTCCTGTATGAGCAGGCAATGAAAGTTTGAGAGAAGAAAAGAGATAATAATCGTCTTTTAAAGAAAGCTGCAATTAGACATCACTTCTATGCGTCGTCTTTTGAGTGATCATATCTCCTTGTTCTCTTCATTCCTCATTTCCTCAGTCGGCTGTTCTTGTCCTCGATATTTACCGTAATGCAAAATACACGAAATACATTTCTTTTTTGAATTTTCTATAAAGTTCTTAATTTAGTTTTTTCTTATTAGGCTACTTTAATTTTAAAAAATTATTTACTTAGGAGTTAATGCATATTAAAGTTTTTGTCTAATTACTTAGATATTTAGACAATGTGATTCAACATCGCTGTTTTTATTTCTTTACGGATATGCGAAAAAAATTATTGGTAAGCTTGATATTTTCTATTTAGTTTAGGATTTCATTTACCATGCGAGAATCCCAATGCAGTCGAATGATTTGCGGTGGGATTGGCGACCAGATCAAATTGCGACAGTTTCATGTCCTCCGCTATAGCGACCTGCCTCGCGCTGTTCCACTTGTAAATTACGTCGCGTGTCGTGTAGCCAACTATAAATGGATTAATTTTCGCGTTGCCAAAAAGATTGACGTGTCATTTAACAATAATCGACAATCAAAAGCTGCATCTTTGATCTTTACTAATCGTTTAAATCGTTTAAACACAATTACTAAAAATAGGAAAAGAAATAAAGAAATATAATATATTCTATTCGTAATGATTATTAATTAAATCTACTTTATACTTGACTAAAATATATTTGTCATATATATATATATATAAAAAATGATAGTCAAATATTATTTGAATATAATTTGTCAAGTTTAACTACTTGGTAGATGATAAACGTGTTTTTTAATTTGGATATTGTTAGGATATTGTTATAGTATATTTTTAAGTTTAAAGCACAATTCCATAAAATTATTATAATTATTGAAAATTAAGTATAAATGTTCACTTTGTATACATATATTTTAAATTAATACATTTTAAATTTGTAATCTTGTTTCATAAGAGAATGCCATTAAATATTACATAATCTTTTATGAAATTAAGTCACTCTAAAAATGAATAAATTTGATCTTTGTTATTTTTCAGTTTATCATAAATCAATGATATGATTTGAATATTGCTGAAGAAAAAAAAAAGTGAAAAGAAGAAATGAAATGAGAAGAATGTTTTTGAGAGTCGCAGAACAAATAAATCTATTAAACTCACAGCTACCGAATCGCAACGGACACCTTTGCGTATCCATTGGAAAATCCTCGAGATTCATTGGACATCCCGCCTTGATTGTAAGCCTGAAAAGATACAGAGAAAAGAACAAAGTTTGAAATATCATAATCTTAATATTAAGAAAACATTTGCAACTGAGTCTTAAATTGTTTTTATACAAATGCCTTTTAAAGTTGAGTAAAATCAATAATTTCGATAAAATTTTAATATTTTATTTGATAAAATGCATATGCATAACGTGTTACAAATCGATCTGAATTTGATTGAATTATCATATTATGCGGTTTAACTTCATCGGAGAAGTTAGAATCGGAGGATGAGACGATCCGTGATTAATCGGATCCATCACCTTAGCACTCTATTAGTTCACTCGATCGCTCAATTTGCAGCAAGTATGCATCCTTCTATGTTTACATATCGTGAAAACGCGTTGGATGGATTGCTTCCGTTATATTCCATTATATTCCAAGTTTTAGAGGATATAATTTTATTTTTATTGTTTTGTTATTTGTTTCATTAACAAGTTTTATTTTGTCTACATAATTTCAAATGAAGTTTAAAATATGGACAATGAATAAATAAAAAAACGCAAAGAAGATAACAAT